ATTTCATTGAAAATTACCTAATTTCTCTTAATAGTAATTAATTTTTTAATATTTCCCATGCATCGTTTTCCAATTCTGAATCCCAATTTGGTGCATTACTATCAGCACCAAAATTAATTAAAACTTCTTCTTTAACTTTGTCTTTTGATTTCTTTGCAGTTGGTTTAGTATCTGTTACTTTCTCTTTATTCTGTTTCGTATTATCATTACCCCAATCCCATNTTTGTATTTCATTGAAAATTACCTAATTTCTCTTAATAGTAATTAATTTTTTAATATTTCCCATGCATCGTTTTCCAATTCTGAATCCCAATTTGGTGCATTACTATCAGCACCAAAATTAATTAAAACTTCTTCTTTAACTTTGTCTTTTGATTTCTTTGCAGTTGGTTTAGTATCTGTTACTTTCTCTTTATTCTGTTTCGTATTATCATTACCCCAATCCCATTCGCATACGGAAGAATTTGTAGTTGATATATTAGTTCTAAAATTAAAAGGAAAGTCATTAAATTAATATATAATTTTCAAACCATATAAGCAATGAATTCTATAAGTGCGATAACTAATTTTTCATTAATTTACTTTGACTGCGGCGATGTCTTCATTAATGATGTTTTTTCGGTAGAATACAATTCGACCTCGCTGTTCTGGTACCTACTAGTCGAAGAACTTTGATAGTTTTCTTTCGAGTTGTAATGATTTTGTTCCATCGAATTTGTTCCCCCAATATCACCCCATCCTCTTCTACCCAAATCGCCAACCTGTACGATAAGTATGTAACAACAATGTTACTAATTCCATCTAAGATTAAGTATGATAAAAAAAAAAGAAGCCAAAGTTAAATCGAATTCTTTTTAACTATCTACCTTTGTTGCCAAATTATTAACTTGAACTCCAACATCTTCTAATAAAGTACCATCACGAACCTAACGAATACAACATAAAAGAAAACTAAAAATTGAAAACTAACTGAAAAATACTGGAATATAATATACATATATTACCAAGCTACACACACACACACACACACACACACACACACAGAGTATATACCTACCGAAACTGAAATCTTTGCTACGAAAATTTAAATAAGCAAATTACACGATAAATAAGTATATACGGCGAAGTTATTATAAATATGTATAGTAAATTTACTACATTACCAATTTAGTACATTACAAAATGTACTAAACGAATTGTTTAACGCTACTTGTTTTAGCACTTGTATAACATGTTAAATCCACATTACTCGTTAAATGTAAACATTATTTTGCGATTACTTGTATATTTAACATAAAAGTTGGCTTAACATTTGCTTCGTGTACCTTTTGTGTCGCCAGTTCCCCAATTCTAATAGCATTTTCTGTAGCTATGCTTGCTATTTTTGTCGCAGACGAGGAAAATATTGACCATCCCTAGAATTTTTTTATGTATTAATTATAGGTAATTGTTTATATCAGGTGCTCGGTAATAAGTGGAAAACATTACAATCTCTCTTTATAATGTTTTTCCAGCTGTCGCCGAATATCCTGAATATGTTTACAACTAAAATACAATATTTATGTTTTAATTCTTACACTTGCTAAAGAAGACACTGCAGTGTCAAAAAATTCTTGCGACGAACTTTTAGGTGGTGGGCCCATTTGATAACCAAATCCTCCATACTTACCCCCTTGATTGGGTGGAACATTCCTATAAAAATATTTATGAAATACGATAAGATCTTGATAAGATTTCATAATAAATAATTGCAAATGTGTGTATGTAATTAATATATATTTGTGTTTACTCAGGACGAGTGGCATTTTCACTTTGTTTCCTTGTGAAGAAAGCTTCAGTTTGAGCTTTATAATTGCTTGAATTGAAATTTTGATAAGAACCAGATGTATCGCTCTGATAGGACGAATAGTCTTGTTGATTAGAAAAGTACGTTGTTGGTTCAAAATCTTTGGCTGTAGAAGTAGTTGGACTCCATTTCTCTCCATGAGCTAATGTTGCTATCTAATAATTGTACTTACAATTCAGTTTAATTATATATAATTGAATTGATTCCATTGAATATATTTACCTTGTCTTTATATAACGCCGCTGCTTTGGTATTATATTTTTGTGCTATAGACAAGCCGTCCCAATCTGGCTGCGATTCAAAGAATTCTCGAGCGTTTCTATTTCCACCAACTTTCATTTTTTCTAATTCCAAATCCTTCCATTTATCCATCGAAATGGAACGAACAAATGATAAATGAACACCAAGTCCTCTGTGTTTACCTGAACATTCTAAGCAAATCCATATACCATATGTAACAGACACCCATTGAGGATTATGCGCACCACATTCAAAGCATTTCTATAAAAATACAGGATGCAATAAAATGAACATATGGTAAAATGTTAATAGAACTAGATTGATAAATTACATTATTTTCATCTTTAGGCTTTAATTCGCTCAAAACTCTTCGAGTCCGCGGACTGGCCATCGTTTTTGTCACTAAAAATTAACTCAAATCGAGTTTAATACTTTTACTAGTCAATTTAAAGATCCACTCTATTATACTTGCTGTCTTCAATTTGTTAACGAATGTTTCATTATTTCTAATTTTACTATGCATACATATGGTATATACATATACAAATATATATATATATATATTTATATATATATATATATGTATATACCAACGAATAACAGTAGCAGTTAACCACTTGTATTTATTGTAAGTACTATTTTATGTAGAGAGTAACAAGAATCGTTCATATACAGCAAAATTAAATATCGTGTCACTAATTCTGGTGAAACGATCATTGCATGAGATATTTCATAGATGTAGAAGGACCGTCAATGGACGACCTGCGAAACGATTGAAAATTCATGCGTGTATACTTGTAAAATCTACCGTTCTTAAGCGCTGCATGTAACTCTGTACACATGGAGCATACATATACAAATATCTATATTGTACCCATATTCATTACCTATCGCCGTGCTTTTTCAGTGTAATTTTCAGAACAGTGGTGCATTCGTGTTCTTACAAAAGTAAGAGGGAGAATGCAAATAGTGGTAGGAATAATGAATATGTGAAAATATCGAAACTGGGTAGAGTAATGGGACTTTTTATTCTCTAACCTGGCGCGCGCATCTCCACCTTTTTTTTTTTTTTTTTTTTT